AATTGAATACCAACAGTCTGTAGATGAAAAATGCTGAATTCGGAAAAGTAGCTTTCTGAACGAGTTGGTTAATAGGCTGTCCTCTGCTTGAGGACCTCTCTGACGCTGATTTAGCTGTCTGAGACAGGAGGGGGTCAGTGGCAATGGGCATTAAACTTAAACTGGGCTTCCCAGTTCACCCTGGAGTACTGCATGCAAATGCTCAATGGAGTAGCAGAGATGGCACCTCCAAAGCACAAAGTGCTTTTTTGGGGTGGTGAATTCTTTCAAGTATTTCCCTTTTAGTAAATCATTATGGTCTGAACTGCAGAACAGTCAATACAGAATTAATAAATTCCGCTTCCTTTAGCTACTGGTAGACCCATTCATCACAGTTAAGAAAGCAACTTATATTTAGAAGCTCAAAGGCAGCTGTCTTGGGTTAGACTAAAGTGTCTAACTCCAAAGGTGGCTTGAATGCCTAAAGGAGCAGTAAGAACAAGGTAGGGATATATGATATTTTCTCCTAATGGTCTCTTGGCTAGCAGCTCTGCTTAGCTCCAGAGAGCTTTTTGCATTGACCTATAGCTTTGTATGTTTATTAACCCACAGCTTGTACGATTTCCCCTAGAGAATGTGTGAAATGAGAATTTGTCAAATAGGTACATGGTTTTCTTTGTTTTAGAAAGTGTCAACTTTCCTCCATTTAATATCTTTGTAGAATTTTGGTGTTCATCCCTCATTAGGAATGCACACTCTAGTTTTTCTCAGTTTTATCTTAAGAGGTGAGCTGCATAAACAATAGGTTCACCTGCCTTCTGTCTTGTATGGAAATTTCCAATCTGTCCCTTACCTTTTGGGAGGGAATAGCACTGCTTTCCGTCACAGAGCCAGCAGAACCAGTGATGAACCTGAAACTTGCATTGTATTCAAATGCTTGAGGTCTTGAAGCCCCAACCTCCTACACGCCCCAATCAAGTTGTTTTATTGCTTCTAAAATACAGGATTTCAGATTTCTTTTTCATTACTGCCCTTATGCACTTGCAAGCATTATTCTCTACATTCATTTTTCCCTGGCACAGAGCACAAGTTCATGCCAGCTCATTTGATATGCATGCAGATATGAATTTCAACCAGAAAAAGATCATCACTCAGATAAAAAATACTTGTTTTACAATTCTGGGCATATTAGGCATAGAAACCTGCTGCAAAACTGCCTTTAATACTTCTGCTCTTTGTGCTTTTAAGGTTATGGTCAATTTTAAGCAGACCTAGCCATGCTCTTTTTTTTTTTTTTCTCTTCACTGTTATTTGTTATCATTCCTTCTATGTGAAAATGCAATGGCTTTTTAAAGTAAAGAGAAAGGCAAATGCAGGAGATAGACAAGGGCATTCTGGAACATTGTGTCATGGCTGCAAAGCCCTGCTGTGTGCAAGTAATGACTGCTGTACTGATGAATAATTGGATCTAGGTTGTGTTACTGCTGACTTTAGACAGTTTGGGAGTTTTTAAAACTGATTTATTACAGTCTTTTACTTGCAGACTAGTGCTTAATAGCTGCTGATGGAGATAATCTTCTGATAGTAAGGTTATGCATATGATTACTCTTAGAATTTGAAGAAAACTTCAGGACTGAGCAACTTTTTCCCTCAGGCATCAAAACTGAAGGCGTGCATAGCATTGCATTTATGTATATTTGTAAAACAGTGGATGTGCCAGTGCATTTATCTACACTGAAAAACATAAGGAGCACAATAATTGGAAAATATGGGAAGGTTATTAATGATGATAATATTATAGTGTCCTGCAGTTCCTACAGATACAGTCAGAATGTACACTGCCAACTTTAAGGTCAATTAAATGGTCAATAAATGCCATACTGGCAGAAGAGAAGTTAAGGAAGAGACTGAGATGCAGCATTTTGGTGCTGCTGAACTGAACAGCTCTTTTGAGAGAGATGAGGCTGAAGGACCCAGGGATAAAAATAAGGCCTTGAAATCTCAGCCTAATGCTGAGTCCCAGTTCAGATGTAAAGCTATCTTAAAAATCTAGCAACTTTCCCAGGGCATTATCAGTCATCTTTTTAAGTGACTGTCAATGCCAGAACAAGCTTTGGGTAGATGGGCTAAGGAAAATGCCAAAAAGCAGCTTCTTGCAGACTGAAAGGTAAAGTGAATTTTTAAATCAGGGGGTATTTGCAGCCCATCTAAACTTAGAATATGTTAGTTTGAGTGTCTCTGAGTGCACTACAAGTTCCAATTTGACATATGCTTTTTGATGTTTTTAGTATTAAGTCGATTCATGATTGCATAAACTTTAATGGATAAAACATGATCTTTCTGCTGAGGAGTTCCAACTGTAACTAAAAAATGGGTTAATTTCCTCTTTTTATTTGAAAATTGTGAATAAATCTGTCACAGGTACCCTGAGCTGTTTGAATTAATGTGAGTGACTTGTGAGACCAGTCAGCCTCCACCAGTGACTGGCTTAAGTGGTCTGTGAGCTTTACATAATGAAACTAGTGACACTTAGGACCATATTCAGTTGAAAAGGCATTCTTTGATTGAAATCTGAGAATTTGGGCAAAGTAGGTGCTCCAAAGCAAATACTTATTAAGAAACTAAATGAACTGAAACAAAAATGGGAGATACAATACGTGAAAATCTGATCAGTGAAGCTTCAGGCACAAAGAAGTTATCTGGCTCACTTGTAACACATTAATAAGAAGTGAACAGAAAATGTCAATTTTCATTTTGTGGGTTCCCTGAATCTGAATTTTTGGTTGACTGCCATTTGGAAGCAGAGAAGAAGCTTAGGAGCCCTTTGTGAAACACAGTTATTGCCATTTTCCTACCACCGCTGGGAGCCTTGACTCGAGGGTGTCGCTGGCAGATTGCCTGGGACCACAGGAACCTCAGGAGACCTCATCTTGGGCAGAGCAGTTACAGCAGGGCAGACCTTCCTGGGAGGACATCCCAGAGCCAAAAGTTAGGAAGGACAAGGTTGCTAGGAACCTGACAAGAAATAGAAAACATGCTGACTGTGCTGCCTTTTTTTTCTGTTTTTTTGTATTTAATTCTGCTTGCTTTCAGAACTGTATGTAGATTGACTAGCAGAATTGTTCCTGCTTTAGTAAGGCTTTGGTTTGTTCTGTTTTATGGAAAAATTAAATGACAGCTTATGTTGTGAATGGGATAAACTTTCTATGCTTTGGAAGTTTATGTAAGGAGCAAATGCTCCATTGAGAATTTTGTTACTACTCTGTCCTCTTTTGACCTTTTTTGGTTCCTGGGTGAGTTTGTATCCCAATTGGTTTGTTAGGAGCAATCTGATCAGAGCAGCCATGTCTCAGTTCAAGCATCCTGGCTCAGTCTGTTGTGCTGCCTCCTATCACAGTTACTCAGTTTCTGTCCTATTCTTTCATACATGCTGTGGGAACACCTGCAGTGGAGAATGCAAAAGAATGTCAAAGCAGCACACCAAAATATCATGCTGATTTTACCTATTGAACTCCACATAAATTAAGGACTCTGATTCCTGCTAATGCTATTGGAGTTTTCCAGAAAGCTGAAGTTTTCCATTAGCAGCTATGGCTGCTAATCCCCCTCATTTCTGATGGATGCTGTGAGTTTCAAATAAGGAATCAGTCATACACTGCTGCTCCTGCTTTCCCCTCACCCAGGTCTCTGCAGATCAGAATTTCCAATCTTGCCTTAGCATTCTGCTAAACAAGCAGTGACCCCAGTTCTAATGGCCTTTGAATTAATAATGAGGTTTATCAGTGTGAGTTTCTTCGATGCTCTTAAGATTTGTGGCCAGTTAAATTGTCCTCCTTTGGACATGGCACAGTATAAATTGCCACCATCCTTGGCAAGTGCTGCTTCTGTTGGTTGTCATTAAAAGCCAATGGTCCAAGTAATAAGAGGCCAGCACCAGGCATCTAATTGAACACTTAAACACTGTCAACCCCAAGATTTGTTTCTGTTTTTCTTTGGAGTTTTTTCTTTGTGTTTTTTTAAGGTATATTCAATACAGTTTTAAGTATCCAGTAGTTTTGAGTTGTGAATCAAGATGAGCATGGTAACTATACAAATAAAATGGATTTAATCTGTGTTGAAAACTTTTTGCATGTTAATCCTAATTCAATTTCATGTAGAAAAAAAATAAATTTAAGGTGTCCAGCTTTTTCCAGAGTTTGTTTCTGGCCTCCCTTTTGTCAGTGATTTCTTTCCTACCTAATGAAAGAAGAACAAGTGTATTTTATCCTCTTCGTTTGCCCTGTGAAGTGGACTGAAAAGTGACTTGCCACAAAAGTGTAATGGATTCAAGGAGGGATAGGACTGAGTGAAAGATGATTAGAAAGCACATGTTCAGTCCAGCATAAAGACAGGTCATGGACAAATTTTCAGCAAAGGAAAGGAGAAGATGTATGAGAGGAGGATGAGAGGCCTTCTGTGCATGGAACCTGAGACAGGCTATAATTCATCATCCCTGTGACAGCCCTCTTTCTCAGGAGAGCCCTTTCCTTCCTGCTCTTTGCACTTCTATGAACTCTAGCATTTGTGATGTCAGTTTTTTTGGTTGGGATTTGTTTTGTTTTTCCTTAATTCAGAGGCTTTCAGGGTAGGTATACACTGGAAAGGCCTTAGAAGCAGGAAATACAGAAATCTTACACAAGTCACTTGATATTCATTTTCTGCCCTTCCTCTCTGTTGCTTCCTCTCAACACACAGTGCTAAAGCAAAAATGTTTTCATTTTTCTCCTCAGTCAGCTGAAACATATTCTTTTCTGTGATGCTGGCAATGAAATGTATTTCCAAGTTTAATTGACAAGTCAAACAATAACACAAATGCTTCTGCAGCATGGTGCTAAAGGTTTTCTATCTTCAGTTCAATAGCAACAGTTCTAGAGAGCATGTGCCTTGGTTTTTGTCATTTGCAGAGAGCATCTATTTAATTTTTACTTTTTTCTGGCTTTCCCAAGCAAACTGACTGATGGCTGGTTTGTTGTCTGTTTCAGGTCGTGGAGACTAATTTGGTTGCTTTTGACTGTCACTGGATCATTATAAATGAGGTAACTGTCAAGTGAACATTGTTGAGAACCATGAATCCTGTTTTCAGCCTTATTGACAATATTCATGCTGATTCTCCCTTTGCCAACAGGAAGCAGTAGCTATGACAAAGTTCAAGCACAATGAGGGAGTAGATGTTGCTTAATAAAAGTAGAATGACAGGTTCTTGGATTTTGCTGGTTCTTCTTGTCTGTTTTAAATGGAAGTTCCTGTATGAATAAATAGAAAATAAACTGGAAAAACCCCCTTTATTTCTAAATATCTCAAGAGTTCACAATTGAGCTGACTGTTTTCACAGGATTTTTAAAGCCTTTTTTTAATATGCAATCTTTTGTAGTGGAGTCCTTGCATTTTGTCAATATTTTAATGATTTTTTTTCTTAATAGAAATAAAAATAATAATCATAATAATAAAACCCCATATTTCCCTTTCCTTTATGAATTCTCCAAATGCTGTGTGATGGTTGATATCCAAACCTGTTGATATTAGTGGGAGGCTCTTTGATAGGCTTCTGGATTAGGCCATATATAAATGTTCATAAAGGGAAAACAGTAAGTTAAATTGAGATTCTGCTTTTACACTGTGAAATAAGTTCTTCCATGAAAGCCTGTCAGCTAAAATATGACAAGTCAATATGTGAAGTAGTTTTGTGTACAAAGTATTGAACACTGCAGTTCAGGTTTGACAGCGTTCAGGTTTTTGAAAAACAATTTAGGTGGGAAATATCTGGATTCCCTGAGCAGATGACTGTCTCCTAACATGTTAATCATGCAACTCCTGTATATTCTCGGGATAAAAAGACTGCATGTAAATTCCATGTCATACTACCTGGATTTACTGTCCACTTCTGTTTTCACACCTATTTATTGGATTTTCATTAGTATGCTGTGCTAACTGGTGGAGTTTTAGCCAAGTTTTTTTTTGGAGAAAATATGTCTCTGGAAATGCTGTGTAAACAAACCAGTTCCAGCATAACCATTAGTTTGGGCCCTGCCTTGCTCCTGACCAGTGCTGTGTGTATTTTCCAGCACTGAATGGGGCTTTGCTGGGAGAGAACCCAGCTTTAATCTGCAGGTGGTCAAGTGAACAACATACATGTTTTCTTTTTCATGTCTGAATAAACTAGAATTCACTTCAGAGTAAACAGTGAGTGTTTTAAGAGCATCAACTGAATCTAAAGCTGTCCTCTATAATCAGTAGATGGGACAGCAGTTTCTTAGATAAAGCTCATATTTTGGCTTGCTGTTCAAATTAAAGACACTGCCATTGATTTTTTTGTTTTAAATGTTACATACTTTCTAAAAGATCTAAAGAAGGTGCTTGCTTTTAGCTGTTTCAGCTCCTTCACCCTCAAAAATTACAAAACAAGACTGAGGATCCATTCCTAGCATATATGCTTTCTCTTTGCTTTTTATTTAGAAATTAGTGTCTCCATGGGAAAAAAGAAAATCTGCTTTTTAAGCATTGTTATTTGCACATTGCAGCAGCTGAAATGGCAGAGCAATCTAAGTGGTTACCACTCAGCTGCCTTCTCCACTCCAAAACTCTTTCTCTGGGCTGCAGTCCCAGCAGCAGGAAAAGCTAAATGATCTGCACAGAGAAATGTACATCATCCCTTCTTAGTTTGATAGTCTTGTATATGAAAAGGATGAAAGCTGTGATTAAATTCATTCCAACAAACTGCTCTAAACCATCGTCATTAAAGTCTCTGCATCTCATTCAGTAATTCCTCTTTTCTCTTTCAGAGAAAGTGAATATGTTTTGTGCTATCCCAGCTTAATCTGCTTCTGGACCTAAATCCATATTAGGTACTTAGGTAGCTTTCTAGCTCTGTTTGTTTAAAAATGCAAATAATTTCAATATTATGTGGATGCAGAAATCATATTAGCAATAAATAAGATCAGTAGATAATACTGCAGCAAGGGTTCTGCTTTGCACAATTTTTCCTTGTCACTATGCTCAAATTAGAGGAGAAATCTACATGTTTCCTGAGTGTTTGATGCTGGGTAATTGCTTATTGCAATGTTTTGCCAGTTCAGTAACGAGATTGCAATGCCTCTATTTGGCAGTGCAGGATTTGGAAATGCAGAGATTTGTGGCCCCCTTTCTGTGCGCTACATAAACCAGCTATCTTTATGTCCCAGTCTGTTTCAGGTGGTCATCCATTACCTGCTGATGGCCACAGCACCTCCATATGACTGGGAGATGATCTCAGAGCTCTGCCCCTTTTCTTGCTTCTGTGAATCTTCTGTGACAGCTTAGACATCAGTGCTTGAGTGCCTATATTGGCTAAATGACACTCTCAAATAAGTACTGTAACACTGCTTCTCTGGCCTCCTAATTTGAAATTCTAAAATTATCTATGATGGTGAAAATCTGTTGTTCCGCAAATTGTGCATCTGATTGAAATAATTCCTTGCCTTGAGATACCAAAAGAGGTTGGAACTGTCTTTCCTTTTCCATCTCTGTGCCAATGGAATGCAACCTTCTTAGCAACTATAGTAATACAGAAGCAAATACCACCTTCAGTTTTGTGATCAGAAATCTGCTTAGGCTTTGTGAGGTAACATCTGCTATTTTAATTGCTCAGTCTAAATGCTACAATGCCTGCAAAGAGTTCCTTTATTTTTATTGTCCCATTACTTGCCACTTTATGCAATACAGCAAATTTTCTTGAGGAGCCTGTTTCATAATGTAAGTGTGGGAGGAGGGGGTTTGTTCCTATAAAATGAAAGAATTCATAATTTGCTAAAACATAATGCATCGTATTAGACCATAGCAAATAATGCAAATCTCTTCTGATCAGTATAGTAAGCTGAGAAAATGCTCTCCAAATAAATGTTCCTGTTTCTCCAGGGCCTTAAAGCAGATGTTACAGTTCTTTATTTAAAATTTGCAGGAGTCATAGATTTGAATGTAGTCATGATCAAATATGTCTTAGCAAAATGTGAGAATGGATTTCTCACACTCTTTCTCCTTCTGTCTATCTGTCTTTCCTTGCTTCATTTCCTCTCCACAATAGTAAATACAGCTTCAAAGTTCCAGTATGAAAAATTATGTTTCTTTCATGACTCTTAATTCACTACTGTACAGTAAACGTAGATTCTATCTGGTGGAGCTGAAGAAGGGGCATTTGTATGATTTTCATCACTTTACCTTGCTCTTTTTAAATGCAAGTAATGTCTTTTTTTTTCCATTTTAAATCATGTCTGTCTCGAGCATTTTCCTTTGTTAAAACATTTAGGGTTACCTTACTATTATCTTGCTATACCTAAGGCTGCCACCAGTTCTTTAGTACCATTGTTTACTCAAGGGCACTCCCAAACACTTTGAACTGCCTAGAGTTGGAATAGGGAGGTGAAAATATCAATGCTGCTTTACAAAGGATTGTTTGGATTTCATCTGCTATAATGTGGTCAGTTATGACCAGGTCTATTAGAATCAGAATAGAAGGAGTGCACAGGAAAGCTCATTTGTGTAAGAAGAGAGTGGAAAAAGTTGCCTTGGTTGGAACAAAGACTAAAAGAGGATGTGCTCTCTGTTTATAAACACTTACAGAATGTGAATAAATGCATCTTTGTCAAGAGCCAAAGGACAAGGTTGACACAAGAACAAATGAGTTCAATTTGTGCATGAGTAAACTGAGGTCAAAAGTTGTTAAAATGCTTCTAATTACCAGAGGCGCCAGGGTCTGGAAAAACTCCTGCTTGATGAAAGAATTAAAAAAACCTCTAGTCTCTTTTAAAGACCAATTTATGGGAAAAGGTCCAATAGGTTTGCCCAGCAAAGCACAAGAGAGGACTGGGGGACCTACAAGGTTGTATTCAAAGGTTGTATTCTTTTTGATGAAGACTGTTTCCTAGGAGAGGGCTTGTCCTTGCCCCAGGTATTCATCTTGTTCATCATGTTTCAAGCCCAATGCACTCCACCATGAGTAGGAGTGTAGAGCATAACCATGTTTCAAGCTCAAGCAGTTAGATCAGGTCCTATAATCACAGCTCAGTTCCAGGAGCTCATTTATATTCAACATTTTCGTATGGATAATGATTGATAATGGCACTAGAGCTTCACTTGAACCCTTACATTTTCCACTGGGTTGGTGGGTCTGTGTGAAATGACACCCTCTTTCGAACAGGTGGGCAACCAGGTCGCCAGCTCCTGGCATTAGTGACAGCTAATGCACAGATGGAGAGAGCCCTGCTTTCTCCAACATCTTGGATTTTTTTCCTCTGTGAAAGCTAAAAATTAGTTTCTCCTTGTCCTGTCAGGTTTTATTCATCCTTTTCTGCCAAGCCTACAAAACATAAGGGAGATACATAGGAGCAAGTGATGATGCAGTTCAAAATCTGCTATTGGAGAAACCTCTTGGAGGTTCATCCAGCCATGCTTTTACCTCGACTTCTCTTTAGAAAGTGCTAAGAAATTTGGAAAGGACATAAATGTTCTCTGGCATGGGCAGTGGCAGCCTAGAGGCCTTAAGCCACCCTTTTTTCCTCTGCTGACTTTTGGATAAGGAAGGAACACTCTCCTCTCTGAGTGTCAGGATTTTCTGTGATGAAGTCCTGGTATGCACTGGAAAATAGTGTGTGTCCCCTTTATTATAAATACTGGAACCATCTTCTTGGCCCAAAGTAAAGATATTTTCATAAGAAAAGGTATTTTTGCCTTTTTTCAGTGCTTAATACAGGAGCATGTAAATAAATTCTTCCCCTCCATGTATCTCACTGCTGGTACAATTGCTCCGTGGTAAATATTAAGTCTCTGCCTGGGCTGCTTATCTTAAAATAATGGGACAAATATTAGATGTCCAGTATGTAGTCTTGATTTCCATTGGAGTCGTGCTTTATATGTCAAGATGATTCTCTTCAGTTCTTGTTTCCTAATCAATCTGTAAACAGTTGTTAATTTAGATCCGTATTTTTTCCCTTATTTATTTGCCTGCTTAGATGAAATGTACATCTAATTTTATCTTTGTTCCTTTTGTGGCAGGACAGTCTCCCCTTAATTCCAAGTTCAGACCAGCAAAAGAAAGGCTTGGAACTATAAATTGAATTTTTGATGAAAAAAAAAAATGAAAAACAAATAAACAAAAAGCACAGCGAAAAAAGAAAAGCAACCTCACATAACCTAGCCTAAATTTTTTCAGGTGCCAACTCAGTTCAACTTGGCCAGCTTTCTAATTTTTTTGACATTCGACGCTTGTATAACATTTCATCTGGCGCACTTATATTGTTACACTGTATCCTCCTTTGAAGTGCAAATGAAAATTGTTTCCTCTCATACAATAGTTGCTTTATATAGTTGTCTTAAGTCAGATCCAAAATTCAAGAATGAGAGATGATGTTGGAGAGTCATTATATAAAAGGCTTGTCACTCAGTCAATGCCAAGTATTTAAAAAATGACAAAGAAACACATAGCAAATGACTAATGTTGAATTTGAGGTTGCATGGCATTGCTTTGTTGTCAATCTAAAATCTGGATTTATGGTATAATGAACATTTAAAATAATAGCTGTCACTAATCCATAGATATATGTACCTCCTTGGCCACCACACAGAAATGGCTTTGGTGTTTCAATTCTGTTATTATTTCCCAGGTGATGTAAAATGGCATGAGGTAGTAACCTAGAGGTTAAAATGAGAACATTCTATTCAAAATGCACCAAAAAGTGCTGAATACAGAAAACATCGATACACTTTTATGGCAGGAAAGATAAATGCTTGAGGATTTGAAAGTCAAAATCTCTTTTAAAGTAGTACTTGGCAATATAATGTGGCCATCCAGGTGTCTGTTTTTACAATATTAGAGCGAGTCTAATAATCTTGGTGTTACAGTTTGGATATACTGTGTAATGAAACCAGGCAAACTTTTTTAAATCCTCTAAGAAAGTATATAATTTAAAATCAAGATTAAAAGTTTCTTGAGCTCTCCTTTATGGTTATATTGAAAGTATTATTTAAAAAAAAGAAAAATATATATATTGCTAAAACAGCATTATATATATATTTTTTTTTACCTCACAGCTAGTGAAATGATACAGGCTAAATGAAAAGACAGCATCTTAAGCTGAGATAAGCCATTATCTGTGGTACATTAAGAATTAATAGACCAGAAATGTAAGATAATATACTGAACACAGCTGATGCTATTTTATTTCTCTTTGCAGAAAAAATCTGTATTTCATAAAGAACATTAATAACAGATGAATTCAGAAACTATGATAATCTGTGAAGGGAAATAAAATACTTTTGCTGTAGTCAAGAGAATAGAAGTTATAATTTACATCTCACATATATTTCTTTCAAAATTTAAGGGAAATTATCTAATAGCAGTATGTCCCAAGTAGTTCCTTCAAAATAATGAAAGGATATTATACTGGAGCAGGAAAAAAAGCCAGAATAACTGGGGTGGTTGTCATAACATTTAAAGAGCTGCTTTTTCAAAAAGCTTGGCTTCATTTCCACAAGAAAGATTCCATAATTTGAGATCAAGTCTATCCTGGTGTCTCCTGAATATGGTTATGGATCAGGAATATGGTTATGGATCAGGAAGCTAAGGCAGAGAAAGATGGTGGCATTTCATTACAGGTATTTACAATGCAGATGTGCTGTATCCTTTGAAAAAATTGCAAAGCTATTAATACACAAATAAAAAAAAATATTCAATAAACTGTGGTTGTATGCAAGAGAATATTAAGTGCAGGATGCCAATAGGAGCCTCTTGATCCACCTCCCTTCCTGGGGCATATCCACAGTTTTAAATGTCTGGAAAGTTTGGGGCATCTGCCTCTGTAGTTAAGACAGATCATGGACAGACAGTTCAGCTTGGTGAGAAAGAGGTCCTGGTTAAAAAGATGGTACACATTTTAGATTATTTATACAATTTTACAGGAAAATACAGACACAAAATTATCTTGAAAGCTAACAGCTATTTGAATCACCAGGAAAAAAAACATGTTTAACTAAAGTTCAAGTTCTTATGTGAAGGTTGGAGTCAGTTGCTGTTGCTTGGGAGCCTGTGTTCCTCTTATTCAACTTCCCTGAGGGACTCATAATTCAACAGTGTAAAACACCATGTTCCCAACCTGCAGGAATTTCTGCTATGTAAAATATGTTTTTCTGGTTTCCCTAACCTGTCTTAAAGGTAATACTTCAAGCTTAATATTGGTGGATTTACTTAGCTATTTTTTCTTTTAAGTATTTGACCGTAGAGCTGAGTGTTCAGCTGTAAGCCTTAATAGGTACCCTGTGGAATAAAAATTTGCTTTTAAATTAGGTCTTGCTATAAACAAGCACATTTATACCTAGAATGCTCTTATGCATTTTCTTTGCCCTTTTGGTAAATGATTTCTAACTAACACATTGTTTATAGGTTCTTGATATTCTGAATCTAGGAAATGAGCACTTAAGGCCTGAAACATGGTCTCTACCTTCACTGCTCCTGAGCAATGCTGCACTCAGAAATACATCATGCTATGGCCTCCTACTGATTTACACATTATCTGTCAAGGATGCTTGGAACAGTTTTAAATAGAAAATCAGAAGAGGTAAAAGGAGAGGCAGAGAAAACCCCAAATGAAACAGCTATTAAAATATAAGTATTTGCTGAGATTTGAGCACAGTACACTTTGAACTTTTGTAGTTAAGGGTGGTGTTTGAATACCACCAGTTATTTTAATGAGCATGCGCATATTGGTTTTGAGGCTGTGGTGGAGTCTGACAATAGCTGTGTGTCAATCAGAGGCCTCTTGGTCCACTCAGGTTATTTTTTGTTTATCATTTGGTGGTCACGTTTCTGAATTTTCACTCTGATGCGTATCCTCTCCCTTGCCTTCTCTTTCAGGAGATAAATGACGTGGATGTGCAGGAGCTGGTGAGAAGGTCAATCGGGAGGTTGACAATTATCCGACAGACGTTTCCAGTCCCCCAAAACATAAGCCAGCGCTGTTTCCGTGGCAACCACAGAATATCTTCATCACTGTGTGATCCCAAGGACCCTTTCTCCCAAAGCATGGAGGTACCTCATGCACCAGTCTATCCCCACCTGGAAACTCTCTTTCTAGATAACTTCCAAGTTTTCCCCCAGGGGCTATCTGTAACTTATTTTTCACATCCTCTCTGACATGTGGTTTAATGGCTCATGGCATGACAAGGAAACACCTGGAGCTGAGGAGGGAGTGAATGTCTCTGATGGGGAACAACAACTTTCCTGCTCCACAGCAATAGAGATTAACATCCAAACAAGCAACCTGGTCTCCAGGTAGTAGGGTAGTCTGTTTGTTGCCCTGCTCAATTTTAATTTTTGTCATCTCACCCAAAAGGATTTCCTCCCTGTAGTCAATGTCTCCCGAGTTGCTGTGCTTCTCTGAGCCTCAAATATGTTGTCAATAAGAAAATCATCCTGGGAGCACCCACATAATCGCTTTCAAGTGCCTTGGTATATACATCTAAATCTCTATCGAAGTTTCAGGGAGGCCCTATTTTTAGTGTTGTTAATCACAAACTACAATTAAACTATAATGGGTTCCTACCACAGGAATTCAGCAACAGGATCCCTGTCCTCCTGACTTCATATAGTTTTTCCAGGAACAAGTCCTCTGTGTCTCTCATTAGGTTTCGTCATGACAAAGCTTAGGCAAATTAGAAATGTGAAATTGGCTCAATATGTTGATTTTAATTTTTGGGTTTTTTTCTGTGAACATTTCTGCAGTTGTGGAAAGATGGCTACATATTATTATTTTTAGCAGTGGAGGGAGGAGATTATCCGACCCAGCAGCTAAAAGCAGCTACCTCATGGTTCTGAAAGGGAAGAATGAGAGAAAACAATGGGAGAAAATAGAGAGGTCTTCAAGAGTGTCTGTTTAAAATGAAGAAATATAAGGGACAAAGTGGGATAGTCTTGTCCTGTTTCAGATTAGTTATAAGAGCCTTTGTGTCACTAATTTTAGTTCACAAAACAGCCAGCCAGCAATTATTGATGACATGAAAAACTGGCTGTAGCAGAGAACACAGTGATCCTATTAGAGTTCTCAAAGCAGGCAGGGCTGTGTGGTGCCCATTGATGCTTAGGATATATCTACAGACTGTTTCAGAAGTGCCAAAATCCTTTAGGCTGTGCCGTTCTGTCATGGCAGCATGGTCCTGGGGGAACTTTTGGCAGTCTAGGGACAGTGTGTTCAAGCTGAGAGTGTGATCACACGCAGAAGTCAGAGAGTGCAAAGAGCAGTTCTCATGAACAAAGCTCCGACTACAGCAAGGCAGAAAACAAGAGCCACATGTCTGTGGGATGCTTTACATTTTAATTTATCTTTCTCTTCAACTTCACTTTTATTTTCACCTCAGCAGTTGCATGAATCTAGGAAAGACAATTTCTAGAATTCAAAGTTTAGTCTGGACAAATTGGAAAATTCCATTTAATTTGTTAGATTTGATCTTATACCTTAACCTGTGTGTCCTGATCTATCTATAGCTTGGAGAGCTAAAATGTTCCTACTGGAAGCTTTCCTAGTATTTTGGTTCAAAGGAATGATGGAAGCTGGATTGGTTTAATTGTTCTGTGCAGCTGAGCTGCTTTTTGCATGCTTTCCCTGAGATGGCTGTACTTCATTATTTTAGCTGAGTGAGACAACATTATAAACTGAAAGGAAGGAAAACTCTGACACAATTTCCCCTGTGCCTTCGTATGATGCACAGTCCTTTGAGTAGCTGTGGGGTTTGTTTGCTGCTTCTTTGTTCTACCCAACAATATTATAAATTAGTTTCTAATCCAGTGGGGAGCTGGAACAGTTTATAAATTGAAATTACTAAAGCTTTTTTTTTTTAATGACATCGAAGTGTGACTAATCAGAAACATTCTCTGGAAATTATAAGGGTGAATTTCTTTATTTATTTTTTTCTGAATTACTCCCCCTAAAGTCTGTGGGAATAATTAATTTTTTTTCAGCATCTTTATTAAAATGCTGAAAAATATTCTGGTGAAAATGTCTCACTGTGTCTTTGGAACTGGCCTAATTGAAACAAATTCTATAAATTTGTATCATTTTGAAGGCAGAAAGTTAAAAGCTGGATTGACAGAAGAATTTAGTACTGCAACCCTTTTGTCTAAAAATTATGTGCAATATTATAGGTACACATAAAATAAACACTGATAATCCAGATTAATCATTCATCATTAATCTGATGCTAAGTACCTTTCTTCCACACTCTGGATAAAATAATCACATCTGAATTTTAAATTGCATTAACAGAAGGTTATGCAGTTAAATACTTCTTGGTAATGCAAGTGTCCAGCCCTTAGCCTAACAGAATAAATAAAGGATTAGTAATGGACACCAGGCAGTGCATTAAATGCCCCAGTAAATTTATGTGGGAAATTAATAAAGGTGTAAAGTGACTTTAAATTACAACCCCCTTCTGTTCATCAGGACAGATATTAACGAAGCGTACTTCTGGAAGTGACAGGGAAGGGTGATTTTGAGAAACAGGAATTAATTGTAGGGTCTTTATCATTGCATTATCAGTGATTGATTGCCATACATGTTAAGCTCAACTATTAGTGAAGGACTAACAATGCTTAATAACTGCTGAACTCTGTCCTCCTGAGCCCTGTTAATTCTTGATGAAGGCCCAGCTATATTACTCTTAGATTAGTGAGTGCATCCTTCCTCATGAACTGTGACGATTGTCTTCTATTCCCATGGCAGCAGGTTACAGAAGTTACCTTGAAAGCAATGTCATTTTGTTGGGACATGATGACTTGGCATCCACAGCCCTTCATGTACCAATTTAGTCTCATTAGTGACCTTATTCCCTCTGCTCTCCAGAGGTGATGTGAGGCTTTTTCTTTCCTTTGGCAAAGACTTGAATAGAAAGAAGCTTGCCTCACAGCCCAGTGATAATTCTTCCCCTCCCAGTCCAAAAAATGTCCCTCTGGTGCTGACTTCATTGGGAAAACACAGTTTTAGCTGAAATGCTGTGAATTCTTTGTAGGTTCACAATATGCAGGAAAATCATCCCAGTTGTTTTTAAAATGCTTGATTAACCTGGGCCCAGATCCTCAATCCATGCTTTTAATCCTGCCATGTACAGTGATGCCTGGCCCGTGCATCTGAAGAAAGTAGATTTTGTTCCTGGGTGAATACCAAAATAGAAATGTTCACAGCCACAAGAGGAGCTCCAGTAAGAATAAAGAAGCACCTTCTTTAGAAGAAAGGCACAGTGAAGGATCATTTAAAGAAAAAGGGCACTAAGGATCAGGGGTTCTGTGAATCTGTGCTACTAACAGAGCAGTTAGTGGATGACACAAGCAAAGCCAGCATAAAGATGGGATTTTAAAAAGGAAATAAAAACATTAAAAGATGTTATGTGGAGAGGACTAATTAGGCAGGAAGAGAGGTTTTGGGGGTTTTTTCTAACTTTTCTTCCCTTTTTTTAAAGGTAATATGTGAATTTGCCAATCAGTATCTCAGATCTTCAACATTATTGTGCTTCCTTGCCATATCCCTCCTCCCAATAGCTGCAGGATTTTCCCAGTTTTTGGATATATTTAAAAAGCAGACTAGGGCTACTAAATTCCCATACTTTCTATTTGTAAGCTTCTTTCTCCTTTTCAAACTTTAAGCACACTACCTATAGCTGTGCAAAAAACCCTCACAGAGGGCAACCAACATATTCCACAAATCTGAGGAAATGTCTTTTGGCTTGTCTGTGACTGATGGAGAAAAAATCCCAGCAACCTTGCCTCAAATTGCCACTGGCTAATTTGCTGCCAGGCACTAGGAATGTTCTACAGAGCCCTTTATCATGCACCTGAGGAAACTGTGTTTCCCTCAATAACTTTAGATGACCAATAGGTTATCTAAAAATAATATTCCCAAAAGTGCTTTTCATTTCTGAACATAATTTTTCTTCATGAGAACCTCTGTTCAGGACAGCTGAGGTTTCTTTTTATGATACTGTCAGTAACTTAAATGTTCCTGCCATCTGAGGACAGCAAAGACTGATGTAAAACTATATTGTAAATTACTTGTTTCAGAAGTGTTCATGTGTCCTGAGCTTCTGTTCTTTTACTTTTAATTGTGTCTTTCACATCTGACTTTGCTCTGTGTTCATTTAAAGCACGTACACAGAACTAAAACATGTTTAAGTGGGAGGGGCACACAAGTGATTGCTCTTCTTGAATTCCACTGTTCTGCTTTTGATCCCAAAGTAGAACTTCCTCACACTGTATGCAGCTGTGCTCGCAGTGAACATACACACATGTACTCTGTAAGAGTTTTGTCCTGCAAGCAATTAGCAGCCAATGTCAAACACACTGACAGAAAACACTCTAAATCACAGAATCAACATGCAATTGCACACTGACAGGAATTTCATTGAGTCTTGTTTCATGCCAGAAAGTGTCAACCAAAATTGACTGCACAAATCAGGAGCAAAACAACACAACAAAATCTATTCCAAATTTTCAGAGTTTCTGCTTTTCAAAAGAGCAAAACAGTCTTGAAGATAATTTGATGGTGTCCAAATATCTGGTGACTGAAAAGTTGAGTTTCACAAGGAACTAGTCAAAAATAAAAGGAAGTCTGTTTATGGGCATAAGTAGAGCTGTAAATCTGGCAAGTGGAGCTGTGCCAGTGGTTGGGCTGCCTGGACTTCTCATGTGTGTATAGTTTGTGTAGTGTTTATCACTTTTAGTATTACAGCCCCCAGCTGCAGCTTTTACCAAAGCCCAAATGTGGGACATTTTGCCTCTCACAGATTCTTCTTAAAACCAAATAAAGTATTTAATTACCAGAGAGTTATGGGTGAGGCAAAACAAATGATCAATTCTGGCTGCTAGGAGGATACTACATAGCTATGCTAATGCTTCCCTTTTGATGTCTTTACAGATTACAAACCTGTATATATATGACACTGTCCTCCTGCTGGCAAATGCCTTTCACAAGAAGCTGGAGGACAGGAAGTGGCACAGCATGGCCAGCCTCACCTGCATCAGGAAGAACTCTAAACCCTGGCAAGGAGGGCGATCAATGCTGGAAACCATCAAAAAGGTACTTTTTCCCTATGTTTCCTCATCTTTGATTTCTAAAATACTGACATTAGGCACTATTTCCTCCTGAGGTGAATATTACTCTTATCAGTATAGTTTTTATGTATTCACAGTTCCTGAATGGAAGTAGTTGTTATTTGGCTTGGATTGTTTGGGTTTTTTCCATGTCATAATAATCATATTGAAATAAAATCAGTAAGTTTGTTTAACTACCAAAACAGTTGGATGGTCAAGGAAGAAAAAGTGTCAAAGGTGAACATGTGTCACCGTTGAAGAAGCTTCACAGGTTAGGAAGTAAAGAAAATAAATTTACTATTTTGTTTGCAAAAGAAAGGAGAAAAAATTGCAGAATTGCACTTTGGTAATGTTCTGCGGAATTCGCCATCGCACTGCTTTTGACGTTAATAAAGTGAAATCATAGAAATGGGAATAAGGAAACCCCTAAATTATCTACCCTATATTCTGCCACTGCAAAACCGTCCCTGTGACTGTAGGTACACAGTCTGTGGTAATTGGGAGTGGGGGTGTCATCCCCCATGGGCTGCAGCTGTAAGCAGCACTGACAGCAATGAGCCATGGAGTGCCTGGGGCACTGACCCATCACCAAAGGTAACAGAGGGCACACAGGTGCAATGCATGTAAGATAAGGATCTAAAAGGTTGCACAGAAGAGTATTAAAGGGCAGAGCTTGAAGACTTCTGTAGTGGCATGGTGTTACTCTGTATGGGCTAATGCTTGAAGCCTTCTGAAATTGTATGGTGTTACTGTGTGTATTTTGGTCATCTCAACTGCAAAGTGTAACAGACTCAATACAGCTTTATCCAGTGTTGCTGCTTCTCTGTGATTTTTATTTCCTACCTTAATCCTTGTCATGCCCAAGATGTTTTTCCTGTTCAGTCTTCAAAGATAATTTCTCTTAGTTATTTCCTTTCTTCATGATGTGTACAGCCTCCACATACTTACAGACAAATGTAACAACTTTCCAATATTTAGTCAATATGAACAGGTTGAGAGTTTGCCCTTCCCTGTAAGTTTTTTGCCTCATTTTCTTTATGTTATTGATGTCTTTCATAAAACTGCCCCCTCATTTGTCTGCATACACTTCCTGTTAATGTATATTTACATTTAAAGTGCTGGTGTTGTAAACACAGAGGAAAAAAAAAGGACAGAAAAAAAATTAAAATGGTGCTTTATTTATGGCTTTCACTACAGGACATAAAAATAATTTAAAATATAATGTTGTCTTGAGAAGTTGCTATTCTGCATTAGGTATTTAGCTTTACCAGAAATTATGATGATGCAGGCAAAATGTAGGACTCCTTTGAACACTGCTTATATTTTACCCGGTCCCAGGTTAATCTGCGTTACCTCCAAAATGATAGTTCAAGGATTTCTTTGGTATCTGCTTCCACTTTCCATTCTAACAGTTTGAACTCATGAGACTGCAAGAATAATCCAGGACACATTTCTTATTCAGGGGCAGGATAGGTCTTTAAGGGACTCCAAGCTGAATTGCTCTTGAACTGTCTGAGCAATTTCCAATTCACTTTTGGCAGTCCCATGTATTTTGACCTATGATTCAGGCAAGCTGGTTCTCTTCTTGCCTTGGATTTTGTAAATGCTGTTTCACACTTTTCCATTTAAATGGCCAGGAGAATTATGAAAGCATTCAAGAAGGCAGGAGCAAGTGGAAATTCCAGACTTCTTGTTAGCTTGCTAAAAAATGAATCAAATGCCAAAGAAATTCCTGATCTGTGCAGCTAACCATGCGTCCATCCTGTCACTTTTGGGTTTCTCTGCTATTTAAATTAGATGGGTTTGATAAGAAACTATTTTATTGGTGTAAATTGAATAATCCAAATACTCTTTACACTGCATTGTGCTGACAGAGATGAATTTCTAGAAGTAATGTGCTAAAATTGAAAGTCAAAATTTAATCCAAATGAAATATAGAAATTTTACTTTGTGTGGATGTCAGTAGCATTTCAATCCATAGGCAGGGGAAAGCTAAAGATTGCCGCTGAGAAGTGGAATTGCACAAAAACAAGAATTCTGTTTTAGTTTTGTGGCCTACTTTCTCTTTTTCTCTTTTCTTTCACTAAAGCAGTTGTGTAGCAGAGCCATGGCATCACAGCTCTGTACTTTTGAAATTAAAAATTTGGCATTGATGAATGCCTGATGAGGTATCAGAAAAACAATAAAATTCAGAAGTAATGAAGGGAAAAAAGTCCTCACTTCATCTCTCTTCCTGAGAATTCTTCTGTTTCCCATCTTGTCTTATTCTTTAAAGATCTTTTCTCTCCTCTTTTCCTGGAGAATCCTCTAAAATCAACTGAAATACAGGTTGGTTTTTTTTTTTTTTTTTTCTCAAAAGCATACCAGTTTCCCTTAATTTTGAAAGAAAACAGATGCAAGTTACCACGTGGTATTAAATAGTTTCCAAATTAAAGTTCTTCATTTTGAAATCACTACTGTTGCCAGTGGTGATGTACAATGAAATATCATAGTAATATATTGATGTAATTCAGGGTGAAACTACATTCTGAGATTTCTTAAATACTCTTGGAAAAAGAACTTCCATCCTCTGCAGCACCTTAATTCACCCTTCATGGTGACCTGTATTGCAGAGCTGAAAGCATCACCTGGTCTCTGGCTGTCCCTCCTCTCAGTGTAGCTTCACTAGGAGTCAAATTATACTCCAGTACTCAAGGTATTGAAGGGGAAAAGAGTTGAGAATTTTTCTGAAAAGATCCAAAAACAGGAACATCTGGCAGTGTTTTAGCTGCAGAGGGACCCCTTTCTTTGATTTCTGGAGGGGGAAATGAGAAAAGAGGTGGGAAATCTTTATTAAGCCGCTCACTGAAGAAGGTAAGAGAAAGGGTTACTGATGTTTAACCTACAGCAGCAATTGTTAAATTTGTTACCCGGGTGGTAAATAAACTGATTTCTTTTTGGAGAACAAGCTAGTAAAGGATAGCAGGCAATGAGAGGAAATTAGAGTTTCCAACATTTCTTAAAATTGCAAAAAAGCTGTCTAAATCATTCCTTATTGTCATTTGTTACTTTTCATTGCTGAGCATTTGACTCATGCATCACTATTTCTACAAACAGCTACAAAAGTGGTTTTTTCTTTGTGAATTCAGCTGATTGGACAAAGCCTAAAGAAAACATTTTAAGCCCACCATAATTATTTAAATCTAATATCTACTCCTGCCCATCCTGGAACTGAATAAACAGTTAAATTCATCAGGAAATACAATCCTTCTAATGAATTTGGCCAACTCCAGGAATTAGTTTAAATTCACTTCTGTAATGGGACCTATCCCTAAACACAAGCTCACTTGTTTATCTCTCAGTAAGGCCATTTCACAGTTGGAGGAATAAGTATCACTAGAAAATAATTCTGCTTTGGGAAAAATTAATCCTTCTGAGTAGGCTGGGAATGAGTGTAAGTAGGATTATAGGGAGGATCAACTCAGCAAGATGACATCAAGTTTCTGCATGTACCTCCTCTTACATGTCCCAGGGCTCTTCCAGTCACATTGGTTTAGCTCACTAACAGCAAATTTTCAGTGCTAGCAGCAGCACAGAGCCTGTCCCTTTCTGGAAAATGAGCTGTACCTCTTGCTGTTTTGTGAATCATAGGTGGGATTGTCAACTAGTCCTGCTCTCAGAAATGTCAGTGACGCTCAGTGGTGACACGCAAAAAAGATGCCAAATTGTTTTTCAGGTAGTGGATTGGATTGTCGGTGCTAGTTGAAAACTCAGTAATGTTCTCAGGATCAGACTTTTGCAAGAATTATATGTGGAATGCGTATTTACTGATTATAGCTTTTTTTCTTGCCTATAGCAGGATATAGCCTATTTCTTACCCTTAATTGCAAAATAGCTAGTAGCTGAAGAGAAAAAAGGAAGTTTGAACAGAAGCTGAGACCAAGTGAAGTATTTTATAGCTGATGATTGGCAAGCTGACATTCCCAAGTGAGGTCCTGACTGCTAGGGTAAATAGTGCTTTCTTCAGGGACTTACAGTATAGCAGTGCCTAAGCACATATAAACTGTAGTTTATCTTGCCAGTTTAGATGGGACTCAAGTAGGCTTTAATTATATTGCCAAGCTTTATAACAGCTCTGCAAAGCCCAGAGCAGTGATCAGAATTGTAAGTAAAACATTTTTGGCCTAGCAACTGACATTTCACTCTTCAGTTGTATATGTGTCAGGAAATTACATGGTTGCAGCTGAACCTCAGAAGAATTTGAGAAGGTAGATAACAAATATATCTTCATTCTTCCCCAAATAGCATTGTTTCTGTGAGTTAAATGGAATGACAAATTTATTTTACTCTTGGCTGTTATCATGATTAACACTAAAATCATTTGGGAAAATCTGATCAGGAAGTTGCTGCATCAGTAGCTGTCATGCAGATGGTCATTTCCTCTGTGATCCCCTTCCTCTATGCACTAGCAGAGGGATAAAACACATGCTGTAAATCAAATGTTTCAGACAGATCCACACTGTGAAAAGCTACCCACAAAAACTGGAGCAGCATCCTGAAGATCTTCCCAGGTGATATTCTGCTCCCCTCTGTCAGCCCTGAGCAGCACCCAGAGTTGTGTGAGCCTTGTGGAAAGGCTGTGGGGGACCATGAGGAGCAGGGAAGAGCAATATCAGGATTGCACAGCCTGCAGGTCCAGCAAGATCAGTCCCAGACAGGGAGGAGAAACCAAGACCTCCAAGAAATTTCTATAAATTTAGTATTGTTGCTATTATATGGATGGTTCTTTGCTGTTTTGTCTTTCTGCCTCTTCCCTTCCCTAGCTGGCAGCATTCCCACCCTAATGGGAGCTCTTATTACACTATTTTATATGTACACAGTCTAGGAGAGGAAGCTCTGATTAAGACACTGCTAAATGAGAAATTTTCAAAGAATGGTAGACTGCTAAAGCAGATAAATGAGAAAAAATGTTGTTGTGGTCAAGACTGGATTCCCGACAAATAAAGCTGATGGACTTGGAATTTGTATCTTGCCCTGACAATTGCAGCCATCAAAAAATCAAGTTAAACAAACTCATACAAAGTTTCTGGATAGAGATCAAATTCCAAAACATCTTAGGTAATTCTGTTAACCTGTGCTGTATGTAAGGGGACATACATTTCCAAAGAATCCTGTGTTTTCTGAAGAAATTGATTGATTGATTACTTCAAGTATAATTGAGGTTAAATGATTATTTGAATTATTTTTAATCGTATTTACTCAAATAAGGACAAAGGTTATAAAAGTAAATTTAAAAGTTAGATAAAATTTTAAATTGCTGTCCCAAGCTTCAGAAAATCATTTATGTTTTAACTCCATGTTCCTTAAAGTATTGGGACTGCTCTCAGTCTGGAACAAAATGTCACCTAAATTTTCTAGATTGAAAATCCTGTATTCTTCATTTCAATTTTCTGCTGTGCACAGCATCTGTGTGAAGAAATTGTAATTTTTTTGTTGAATATTTCCTTCCTTTTACCACTTTGTTCCAGTTTCCCCTTCCTTTTTCCAGGTCCTGCTTGTGGATCACTTGAAATCATGGTACTGCTCAGGTCGTCTATACCAATTTAATTGATTTTCAGACTTTAATTACCTCAGACCCACAGGTTTAATACCCAGTGTGAGGGAAAGTTTTAGGAAGCAATATTTCCTATAGGAAATATTCAGTATAATATAACCACATCAGTATCTGGTAAGGTGTCCAGATGGAGGCTTTGAGCAATCAGCTGGGCATCCCAATTCTTACAGGTCTCTGACACTTCACAGGCATTTCTCCATCTAGTGTTCTGTGAAACTGTGCCTTAGGGATTCAAAAAATAGATAAGAACCTATGAGAGAAAAGGTATATGGAACAGGTTTAGGCTTCTGGTCCACGAGTAGGATGAAGTCAAATTTGAGTTGGAGTAAAAGGTTTATATTTGTGTTACTCAGTTATTTACCAAAAGATATCTTCAAGTGATTGTGTGGGCAAACACAAGTTCACTGTCTTTACTCTGAACCAGCCAGAGGTGTGCTAACCCCAGTCTAAGAGCCACAAAGGTCTGGTTAGTGAAGTATAGTAGTCAAGATAAAAAGGAATCAGAGTGTCTCGCTAACCACAACATTAGCTGAAATTCTCTGACTTGCAATTACCGAAGTCTTCCTGCAAAGGTCTGTTTTGATGTACCCTTAATCGGGCTATTGGCTTTTTTCCTTTCTTTTTTTTTAATTTATTTTTGTTCTAGTACAGAATAAAAAAATAAATACTATAGAAAGAAAATATTATCGAAAATATTTTTCAAATCATTAATTATGTATATACACAGGGTATTTTATTGGTTTTAACTGTAAATGGCACTCATTAAATAGTTGTATTATCATAATATTTGTATTATTATTTTAATATGTAGTTATTTATGTATTATTCCCTGATAGTACTAGTTTCTAGTAGTCTAGTAAATTCTAAAATCATCATCTCGATGATTAATTTCATTACTTTTGTTACAATCACAGTAATGTTTTATAAAAGTCAAAGAACATTCAGTTATTTCACAGCAATCTGCAATGGAGATGCAAATTTTGTATTCCTTCCTGGATTTTGTCCAGACTGAAGATTTAAGAATAGAGCTTTTAATATAATTCAGCAAGGCTCATGTGCTTAGCTAGATAGTTCATATTGCAAGTTTCTCCAGTTTATATAGAAAAGTTCCTAGGTGAAACAACAATCACAACTATTTTAATTATAAAAATATTTAATATATAATTTAATTTATATAATATATAATTTAAAAAATTAAAATATTTTTTACAGGTCTGGTTTTTTGTTTTTTTTCTATTTTTTGGGGTTTTTTTATTTTCGAGGGAGAGGGCTAAGCATCAAATTTCCCTTCAATCTGTAAACTGAAGAAATTTTTCAAGAGTAAAGGTTTTCATTATCAGCATTTCACATGGTTCTGTTGATTTTATAGTTCAGGTCATCACAGTTCTTATACAAAGATGAAATGTGTGTCACGTTGAATTTACTCTGGAATAGATTTTGAGTATGGCTGTGGCATGTATAGCCCTTTCAGCTCTAATTCTTTGTGGGGATTATTCACTCCAGTGTTTCATCTCTAGTATTTTAACCCCTTCCAGCAAAACTGTAGAAACATTAAAACAAGCTTGAGGAGATGCTGCCTTGTTGCTCATGTCATGTATTCTTAGTAGAGGATAATCTGGAGGAAAAAGAAATATCACTGCATTCATCTAAACTTTGAATGAATCCCTTCTTCATTTGTGCAAATCACATACTTTGAGCTCAAAAAGCACATAACTTGGTCTAAACCTCAGCCTGCCCTCATATGGAAGTCTTTCATGGGGGAGAAACAATTGAGGGGAAAAAGATCAACAAACATAACTAATTTTTGTGCAATTTCTTATATGTGTTTAGCTTTGCTTTCACTAAATTTCTTTGCAAAAAACTAGTTTTTATTTTTTTAATTTGTTGGAGTTGAAGTGTCCATACATACATGCAAATGGGTCAAAGAGCAAAAATTGCAGTGCAAATATGCTAAGAGTAAGACTATTGTTTGTATTGACTCTGCTTAGCATTGCTGAGTTTAATTCTTCGGTGAAGAACTTCATTCTGATGCAAGGATAATTTAAGCTTCAGAATTTTTAGGGAACCGTGGTCTTTGGAAAACTATCCTACTTCTGGTAGTTACCAATCTATTCTGCATAGCAGGTGCATGAAGGCCTTCCAGTAACAAAAAGTTGTTACAATTACCCACTTAGAAGTTTTCAGTCAATTTTCCTTTTTGTTTTTTCCAATAGGGTGGAGTGAATGGCTTGACTGGAGAACTGGAATTTGCAGAAAATGGGGGGAATCCCAATGTACATTTTGAAATTCTGGGGACAAACTATGGAGAAGATCTTGGCAGAGGCATCCGCAAGGTAAGGCTACATGTATTCAAACAAGAGATTGCTGATTTTTTCAAAACCTTTCTTGTGTTCCATGTTAATAGAAAAGCATTTCATGGCAGATAATATGGTGTTCTGTATTGTTACAGAAATAAGACATAGGAGAAACCCTTTGAACTTTGAGATACTCATCTATTTCATGATTTCAAATAGGTCTTGGAGCAGGTTGTGTTGATCAAGATACCATTTGTAATGCAGAAGGTGTTAAGCTGCTGATGGACTGTCCCAAAAGACCAGTGAAACCTGATGTTTTTAACTCTTACAACCCCTGTCCAAAATAGCAAATCTTACATTGAATCATGTTTAGAGCACCCAGATTAGTCCCTGATACTTGGTCAAAGTGGGATGTCCCACCTGCTATATGATTAAAATTTATAGTGATAGAAAGAGAAATTCTCTTGTAGAATAGATAAAATTTGTATAGCCTCTTAATGAAATAAATACATGGTGTTTTAATAGGAGTTCACTTTTACAGAATAAGTTAATATTATGTACTGACTGCCAGACACAGTCCAAAGGACTTACATTGTTGCAGGGAATAGCATATATGTCCAGCAGAATTGCTCTTTCTTGGTATGTGAGTTTTGCCAGTTTAAAACTAAATTTAAGTCCTGTGTAACAAATGGTGGAAACATGTCTCTATTTGCAATGAATAGCCTTAACTTTGAAAAACTGCTCATCTGGCATGGCAAAAATCATTTGGCACTTCACAGGTAAACAAAATACTAATAGGCTTTTCCAGGAGCAACTCTCCTTCAATGACATAGTTCCTGAAAAATTCTGAGATCTCTTCTGAGATCACATCATACTGGGTTTTGTATAGGAGGAACATGAAGTGATTGAAAGGAAATGAGAGTGTTTTCTTAATGTATGTAAACTGGGTCCATGTGTAAGTGTCACTTCATCATGAAGTGCATCATTTGTCTGCATCCCTTCTGGAGCAACAGATAAGTACTCTGAAAAAAGAGATAAATAAGAAGTGTACAGTGTCTAAAAACTGAACTTTCTCCTCCACTATCCATCAGAATTGTTATTCTGCTTGTGCTCTTTCATCTCTTGCCAATACCCTAATGTACACACGGGCCTATAGTTCTGTCACCTTGTGCAGAGGTCCTGACAGATGCTTCAGAAACTAGACAGAATTGGATCTGGTTGATATTTGGAAGTACCTTACAGAGAGTCTTTGGAGACCAGAATGTTGGTTAAGTCCTTATTCCCTTTCATTTAAATTCTGTCTGTTTCAACATATTTTGATTTATTTTCCATGCTATGCACTCAGGAGCTATTTATTCCTTAGAGCTGCCTTCCTAAGACAAATCTGTGTCTCTTCATTTTCATTTATTTGGTTGACTTTGACTGGGTTGTTTTTGACTTCAGGCCTGTCTGAGTGAATGCCTGAGTGAAGCACTAAGCTGTGTTCTTTCATTCCCAAAACGATAGAAAAGAAAGAGAGACTCGCAAAAAGATCTTGGAAATATAGAAGTACAAAAAAATTGCTGGCTATTCTAATTCTTTTTTGATGATGTGTTTAGAATTGTACTATTAATTTAAGCTATGGTAGAGTTTGATTTTAAAACAGATATTTATGACTGCGGTCACACCTAACTTGTGTAAAACAATGGGGTAACACAAACAGGTCTTTTGAACCTTCCTTGTTTGCTCTTTATGATAGTTCAAGAACAAAGAGACATTCACTGTCTTCAGAGTGAAATGGATTTGGAGTTGGTCAAAGAGAATGGGGCTTTGCTCAGAATATAATTAGATGATGAAACTCATCATCATACAATCCTGTTGAGGAGAAAAACAAAGTTTAGAATTAAACTAAATACTAAAGATATACTAAATACTGAAAGTATGTGGGGTTTTCTTTACATTTGCCAAGATGAGCATTTAAAATTAAATTTAGATATTCTAAGAAAATTTTCTTGGTGAAAAAGATAGTAAATGCATCTCTGTGGATTTTGTGATGCACTGCAGCTGGTTATAAAGAAGAAAGGGTCCAGAGCAGAACAAATTAAAACTGTTTCATTTTTTTTCCTAAACAGCACTCAATAATCCAGAGAAACCTTTAAAAAGAGGTGTACAGAAAAATTTTCTTTAGAAGGAAAGTTCTGTATATATTATGAGAATGTGATAATTGTTCTCAGAAGTTCCTTTAAAATTATTCCAATAATTATTTCAAATTTTTGCAATAAATGGAGTAAGAAAACAATTTAAAATTAATTTCTAGTCAATGTCAAAGAGTTAAAAAAACAAGGTAAGGTTCTCAAAACAATCACTTCAGAGACAGAGAAGAAAATTTTTAGGGGATTTTACTATTTGACAAAAATTCACATCTTTTATCTTGGATTAAGATTTACTTTACAGTGTATGAGCTACTAGTGTTGGAAGCAAATGGCAATAATTACAGGAGTCAGATATATTTTTGTTAACTACACTAATTAAAGTACACTTCAGATTTTCATGTATTTAGTGATCTGACTGAAGAACTACCTAAGCATTTTTATTTCTCAACCCTAGTAGAAGCAGCTGCAATTAGCAGAGTGACTGAAATTTCTAAGCTAATGCATCTTCCCTAATCAACATATTTTCAAGTACTTTTATAAGAGATAATGAAGGGTAAAATCATTACAAAAGGCCCATTGAAGTCATTGGGACCAGAGATTCCCATCAAGTGAATTGTTTAAAGAATTGTTATTTTGTTTTCCTGAGGAACAGTCAACTGATTTTAATAAAGAAAGTAAGATTTTAAAACGCACTTGAATTTCTCAAGAGAAAATTGAATTGCAAAGAGAATTTCTGCTTGAAATCTGTTCTGCTTGGGTTCTGCAGTCATTTATACTACTGCAAAGTTCACTTATATTCGTAGGTGATTATTCCCCGGACACCAGGAAAGCAAATAGTTTAGGATACACATAGAATTCATGTTCATGTTTGGTTTATTTGGTCAAATTAGGCCACGTATCTAGGAAAAACTGTCTTCACATCCTCTCCTTCCTCCCACTGCTTTTCAGGTATGATAGGTAACCCAGCTTTCATGGGTTACTATCATACCTGAAAAGCAGTGTGAGAATCCCTGTGAAAGATCATTGTACTGGGCTCTGTCACCTAGTGACAAGTTAACAAATCCTGGAGTGGGATTTGCCTGAAACAGCAATTTTGTACACTTGTGACTGTAAATGTTATCCATTACCTTGCAGACCATGGATCAGTTAGCTTGCACTTTTTGCCAGAGCCAAGTACTTGGAGTAATACACTCAGACTGCTGCCAGGTACTGATTTTATTGACACCAGTGGTATTACAACCCCAAAGGAACTGAAGAAAAACTCTCACTTCTACACATCATGCTGTGGCTTGCATTTGTGCAGATGTAGTTATATGCAGTGGGAGACATGGGTGTATTTCTGACATTTCTCTCTTGGCATTTGTCTGTTGGTATTTGACATTTGAGTATGTATTCTTTGACATTTAAATTTCGGTGCAATACTTTTATCTCTACTGCTGAAATAAAAGCTGCCATTCCCGTGAATAACCATCCAACAAACAAACGAACAAAAGGAAGTTGATAGCTCTGAGTACTGTCTTACACAGTGGTGTAGAAAACAGCACTGCAGAAATAAAGTGGTTTTCATGTTTCTTACAGTGCTCCTTGTAATTCAGAATGGGCTCATCTTCAAAGGCTCTGTTTGACATTTGAAGTTTAGAGGACTTTCTTTCTGTTCCCCCACTGGTTTTCTTACCACAGGTGGGCATTTGAAGATCACGATGTGTTTTGCTCTAGCTCCCTATCCATATTAGCATACACCAACCTCCTCCTGTATGTTTCTCTTCTCTTCTGAAGATGTTTTAGGTTGTTTCCTCACAGTGAGGGAGCAAGATGATGTACTAGGCTCTTGCATCAATTCCTGTCTGCACCAAGATGTCCATGGCAAGGTTTCCTTTGCATTCAGGACAGCTAGAGATGCCTTGGAGGAAGGCACCTTGTGAGCATGCACGAAAACAGGGAGCCTTGGTGGGGCAGCAGGGTAACCCAGGATGCTTTGAGCCATCTGCATTTGTCCATTAGGATTATAGGGTTCAGTCTTAAAGCATTTTGATTTGATTGTCTCAAGGATTTTTCAAGCATCTCATGTGAAAGGGATTGAAACCTGTCTAACAGGTTTCTACATTTTTCCTCTCTGCTTCTGCCAGTGCAAGTGGCAGGACCTTCCCTGCAGAGTCAATGCATGCGGGTTTTCGTTTCACAGACAATTAAGGGTTAACACTCTATAGCTGTGCTATTTGTTCGGAGATGGGAAAGCTGGTTTGCATTTTTTCATTCTCTTAAAATAATTGCTATTTCCACTTCATCTGAAAAGACTTGTTGATCACAGTAGTGATATTTCTTTCTAATATGCTATATTTTTTTTCTTACACTTGAATCATGGAGCAATGTTCCAAGCATATATTTTGATCTTCAGGAAGTTGATTTCCATTCTTACAAAGTTAAAACTTATTTTCTGCATCCATTATTGCATATTCCCTTTTGTGCCATTAGGCAAAAAGAGCAGTTACACAGCTCTCCCAACACTTAATAATAAACCCTATTTAATAACCAAGAACATATGAAGTATTTCCTTCTCAGTTAGCTTCTTGGTAAGCCACTTGAGGTAAATGATGGTTTCACCTGGTGTCTTTGTGAGCATGATCAAGGTAGAGTTGTGTAATGTGACTTTAAAAATATATTTTTATCACCTCCTGATACTTTAAGCTGTGACCTGTGCAGATGGTTCTAAAGGTTGACCTGCAATTTATGATGTGACTGAAAGACATCCTTGTGATTTAGAGAGACACTATTGATGGTGTATTTTCTAGTGAGTTGAAATAAAAGTTGCTGTGTCTAACTGCTTTGCAATCTCTAGTATTGATGGAGAAGGTGGACCTGGCACAGCACCACCATGATGGTCTTTCTAAAGCAACCTTAAATAATTAA